ACCTTACCTCTTCCTTTTGATACCCGTGGTTACTAATGCTTTAATCAGTATGTCAAATAGCCCGACGCTTCGCTCGTTTGCATACAAATTATCAGTAACGCATCATTCATTTATATTATTTCTTTAATATTTCCGTCATTCAATATTTTGTTTGTCCATTAGCATCTTTAAAAGATCTATACATTCATTTAACAGCATATTAAAGTAACAAACAATTGTTTCAACTGCGATGTTACTTTTATTTTTGGACAATTCGTTATTAGTTCTTCAATTCTATTTCCTCCTCCACCTTCTTCTTCTTCTAAATGTTAGCGGGTTTGTCGCACGAAACTTGTTCTAGAAATATTTGAGGTTATGTTTTTCAATTTATCTTAATTTTCAAGTATGATGGTCATCTTGATAATATTTTATGTCTTTCCTTAAATAATTTAGAAAATCCCGTGATAAAATTGACGTGGTAACACGTCAATTTTATATGCAGCTTATTAATAGTATAATAATTAATACCACGCATTGTTCTATGGTTTCACGCCTCTATTAACGTCGTCTTATCGTTTGCATCGTGCTAGTACGTGTGTAACTAGTATTTATCTCTGGAAAAGCTACGTAGTAAATTATAGCTTTTTCTCTCTATTGGGGTCAACCATTAACCTTTCTGCTACAAAGTGTCGGCGCAGGTACAGGTACTGAAAGTAAAAACAGTAAATATTATAAACCATGAAATATAACAAACATTAGTTTTGTGTTGATAAACTTAACCCTAGATCGAAGATTCAGATTCTACTCTGTTCGAATTTAAACAGAACAAGAAATTTGAATATTTGTTTAAATAGATACATACATATTGACGTAGGTATTTTATTTCTGTATCATTTCCCGGACTAACCTTAAACCTTTTCCGGTGCTGTCTCTAAAATAAACACCTTGTAATATATCTGTCACACCTTTGTTGTTTATGCAACAGGTAGGTCTCATAAACAATGGGATAGACACAATGGTACTGTATAGTTAGTTTGCAACTTTCGCGATTAGAGTGGGCGAGCTACTTTTGTGGGATACGGGGTGTTTGTATTTAGTGAAATTCAACGATACACTTTCCTAAATTGGAGTTCAGCCTGATTTCTAAGTGATAGTTAGTAATCTACATCACAGAAAACGATTTGCTATTTTGTGTACTTGTACAATTTCCAGAAAGTTCCGTTACAATTTTAAAACTTTGTAAAGTTGATTTAAAATAGATAAAAATAACCATCACTTTTATTAGTTATTCTCATCAGTATGCTGTGAATGTAAAAAATTGACTTCCGTTTACCGAGAACTGATGAATATTGTAATTACAATAAACGGTAGTTGAATGAAGTCATATTGCTCCGTGAATACCACCTGACCTTGGCTTAACCGCGACCATATCATTCTAAAAAAATCGCTCTACAGGGACAATACGGCGATGTTGCACTTGGCCTCGCCTTTCGAGAATTCCCTCCGCGGGGGGAGGGATATTTCATCCCCCGTTCCCAAACAGAAGAGTACCGCGCATCACGCCTTCTGCAAGGGCACCGCCCACGGAACTGGCAGCTACCCCACCCCGGAAAAGGAGAATCACGAGGAGAACAGTCCGTTCCAGAGAAGCTCCTCAAAGAGGTGGTCCAGGAAGTCCGCGAAGAAGGCGGAGAACGGCACGAAGAAGACGGCCAGCGTCAGTTCTGAGAACTTCAGCGAGTCCGACTCTCTGGACTCGCTAGGGGATAAGACGAAGGTTTGCGACGTCGTCGACGATGTCGCTAAGAAGGCTTCCAGCGTCGTCAACAGGTTGTTCAACAGCGTCACCAAGTCATCTGTTGCTAAGACGGCTAAGATGAGGCATTTGGATATTTTCGATGTGGACGACAATTCCTGGGTGGGAGGACTGAGGAAGTCCACTACCAACGAAGACTCTGATAAGGTCTCGAAGAAGAGTCACGCAAGTAACGATGATTCCCCCAAATTGCCCCAAGAGAATGGTTTTTGTAGATCAAGGAATAATTCTATAAGGAGGAATTCCAATGGATCCAATGCTGAAAACGATAAATCCGTTTTCAACGCGGAAAATTGTTTTTCGAGAGCCAGGAATGGTTCCATAAGGAGAAGTGGGAAGCAAGCGGATAATACTAAAGTGATTGTTGGAAGAGGTAGTTTCAGAAGGAAGAATTCTATCAGAAAACTGTCAAAAGTCAAAGCAATTGACTACGAGGAGATTTTGTTTATTAGCAGCAACAAGAAGGGGTCAGGATTTTTTGGCAATGTGGATAAAGATTATTGCTTTAAAAAATTCGAGGACTTGATCCAGCAAAAAGATGTGGTAAGTGGTCTGGGTAATGTATTGCTTGACCAAGCTCATCTTATCCGCGAGATGGTTAAGAGTCCACGATAGGTGTGGCAATGACAGGAGACCTTAATTGTAGGGATATCGTGTAAAAATTTGACTTTAGGTACGGTAGTTATAATTATTTAATAAAAGTTATATTGTACAAGGTGGCCGACGAGGTATCCGAGTTACTTCGTATATGAATTCTATGACTAATTTTAAGCAAAAATTATTCTATTCACTTTTCTCGAATTCCCAATAGTTAGTCATTAGTAATGACAGTATAATTATTAAAGCCGCTCAATGTGACCATCGTCTTTTGCAATGCATAACTCAATCCTCTGTCGAAGCTGTCGTTCCCAAGTTGTAGTTCTCCATATTGTTTTTCACCTCATCAAACGCTGTAGGAATCTTCTCAATGAGTTGACTCCTACAATAAGGCTTTCTCATTGAATAGGTGTCTTCACATGCCCCCACATGAAAAAGTCCAACGGGTTGAGATCCGGAGATCACGGTGGCCAAGCAATGGAACCACCACGACCTATCCATCGATTTGGATACTTTTCATTGAGGAAATTAAGGACGCATTTTCTATAAAAGGACGAAATACCATCATGAAAAAAGAACATCGTTCTTCTGATTTGAAGAGGAATGTCCTGAAGTAATAGAGGTAGATCATTCTCCAAAAAAGCCCGGTACATCTCGCTGTTCAAATTTCCGTCAAAGAAATGTAGTTCGATAACTTCATTATTCATTATTCCAGCCCAAACGTTTACAGAGAATCTTCTCTGAAAATGGGTTTCTCGAATAGCATGAGGATTTTCCATTGCCCACATATAATCTTTGTGGAAATTGTTGATTCCATCTCTTGTAAACGTAGCTTCGTCACAGAAAAGGATTCTTGAAAGACTATCCAGATGATTGCCCCACCATTCACAAAGACGAACTCTTTGGGAAAGATTCATGGGGAGAAGTTGTTGTACCGGTTGGTAATGATAGGGGTGCAGTCCGTTTTCTCGCAAATGTCTTGCACAGCAGTCCTACTTTGTTCAGTAAGTACAGAAATTCTTCTCGTACTATTACCATCATCATTTTCAACAAGTTCAAACACTTTTGCAATATTGTTTCTTCGCATAATCGCATCCTGTTAATCGAAGAGTTGTCAAAGTTCTATTGAACGTTTGTTTGTTTGGATAATGTCGATTTGGATTTCGTCGTTGATATTCCCTAACCGAGGCTTCTCTAGAATATTCAGTATTAACGCAAACCAACGACATTAAAATTTCGACTTTTGTCCAGCTTTTTCGGAATTCCGACCACTATACGGTGGTACTACCACTACCATTGTCATATCCATAGACGAAAATCATGTCCGCATATCCTTCATCTAAATAAATTCAAGGCGTGATTTTAACACAAATGACGCAAAAATTAAAAAAGAACCAACTGTCAATGATGACAATTAACGAACTGACAATCAAGAATTTTTTTCTAATCCGAACCTCTAATCGCAACAATGTAATTTACTCTTTAGCAACTACCCATACGATATGGTAACTTCTAACCTCAATATTTCAAGAACCGTTTGTAATTTGGGAAAAGTGAATCATTTTTGGTTAAAATTAGTCATGGAATTAATATTGTATAAGTAACTCAGATACTTCGGCGACCACCCTGTATATTTAAATATATGTGCCGTTGCTATTGTGCATCTGAATCTCGCAGACAAGATGAATTTAGATTTGGACAAGCTGTACATATTTTCTTATCTTGTCATTTTTATTGAGAATTGTTTGATATGGATGTACATGAAAATATTATATATACGAATAATCACCGAGTGTGACAATGTTTGTCAACAACAGTCCCATATAAACTTCTGCACAATCCAATTTGTCCATTACAATGTTTTCCATTTTACGACACCGCACCGGCTCAATTTTTTTTATTCCCTAACCACTTTTCAACTATCCGCTCGCTAATAGACTCCGTTTTATTTATATCACGATATTGGGCAAGTTGAATGGCTAAAAATAGCAACTCTCGTCTAAAAAAAAATTAATAAGCAATATCGCTAATGCGAATATTTCATCACCTCGGCTATATAACTGTTTCGCGTAATGCAGAATCGCCATTAGAAAGTCGTTAACTTTTAACGTTAAACGAACCCTTCGGGTTGGCCGATCAGTGGCGTGCAGCCGATGTTTTCGGAAAGCTCGCGAGTGACTTTATGATTTATGGTGAAGTTCCCTTAATTTTTCTAGTGATACGTCGTTGTCTAAACGCATTGCCTTACTTTTATACCTATTTACCAGGAATAGAACCACTCTGGAATGTTTCTAAATGCACAGCTCGATGAAACCGATGGAATTCCAGGCGGGCAATCGAGGAAATAATCCTAATTATAGATGCATTGTTAGTTAGTCAGACACGAGTGGCATAGCCGCGGTCATAGACGTGATTCATTGTAATATTAATACGTGACGTTTTACGACACATATACAGAGTGGAAGAAATCTCAATTGGATTAATGTCAGGACGTTTAACTGAACATTCGATTACAACGACCTCTGGATATGACTACATACATTAATAGAATACAACAGTTTTGACTTTAATATGCTCCCGTCCTTAAATTTCTATATTTTTGTTTCAGGCCAAATCGGACGAGCTTCTAGCGAAGGAGAAGCTATGGTTGGACGCGGAGAAGGTTTGGTTGATGCACAGAGGCGGCTTTGCGGCCGCCAGGAAGGAGAACGGCCCCCAAGAACCGGGAAAATTGAAAATACGATTGGAAGCGACAGGCGATATCCTCAACGTCGACGAAGACGACGTAGAGAAGGTGAATTATCGCATATATTAAGTAATCGTTTTTACATTTCGAACACCTTAAATAGATCTTTGAAGCACTCTGTTTAGTATATCACATTGCCTAGCTGGAAAATAATTCTAATGTGTATTTTTTTTTGTAATGCAGGCTAACCCCCCTCAATTCGATCGATCAGAAGACCTAGCGTCTCTGAGACACCTCAACGAATCCAGTATACTTCACACCCTACGACAACGATACGCTACTAACCTCATACACACTTACGCAGGGAACACCACACTCTTAGTCATAAACCCCATGGCCCCCTTGGCTATTTATTCGGAAAAGGTAGGTCTCGGAATAGCCACCAAATCTGCCACACCCGAATCCAATCGTTTTATTTTCCTGTCTTAGGTTGTGGCGCTCTTCAAGGGCTGCAAATCCGAAGATATGCCGCCCCACATCTACTCCATGGCCCAGTCTTCCTATCATGCTATGCTCTCCACCCGCAGGGATCAGAGTCTGGTCTTCCTGGGCCGCAGCGGGTCCGGAAAGACCACCAATTTCCGGCACTGCGTCCAGTATCTAGTCACTGCCGCTGGGACGGTCAACAAACTCCTTAATCTGGAAAAATTAACTGCGCTCTGGACTGTTTTGGAAAGCTTCGGGGATTGTAAGACTGTTATGAATACCAACGCCACCAGGTTCACTCAGATCTTCAGCCTGGACTTTGATCAAAGCGGTGTGATAGCTTCGGCCAGCCTGCAGGTCTTCATGTTGGAGAAAACTAGGATAACGAGGAAGATAGAGAACGAGACGACATTCCACATCATGCACCGGTTATTGTCCGGTGTAGAAGGGAATTTGAGGAAGGAATTGTATCTGGAGAACATGTCCGGGAACGAGAACAACCCCTTCATGACGATGTTGCAGAAACACGAGGACAAACAAAGGGCCCAGCTGGAGTTTGTCAAAGTTTGCAGTTCCTTGAACATCTTGGGAATCACCGATATTGAACAGAAAGTAGTATTTTCAGTTTTGGCAGCCATTTTCCATCTTGGATGTGCGGGAGCTGTAAAAGGTTAGTTGTATGTGTATGCTTCCTTATCATTTATAAAGCTTCTGTAAGGAACTGGCCCTGAAATATAACCTCGAGGAAGTCTTAATTTGTATTTTTCTTTACTCATAGCTGGAAATAACAACCGTTATCAATTCGCCAACCCTCAGAGCGCCCAGAGAGCTGCCACCCTTTTAGGGACAACCGTCGAGGAACTGTCCAGAGTCATTTTCGGCCTAGCTTCCGGAGGTATGGGCACCCCCAACGCACCGAGGGCTCCATTTAGAACACCCTCGCCCATCGACAAAGGGTTGGAGAGGGATGTTGTTGGATTAGAAGCTGTTGAAGGGATTATTATTGGCTTCTATGCTGAAGTCTTCAACTGTATAGCATCTTTGATCAACAGGTAATATATTTTTTTCATAATGCAGCATTATCAGAAGTGGGATAATACGATTCAGGAGTGGGATAACAAGATTCATAAGTGGGATAAAGTAAATTATTTTTTTAGGTCGATTTCTGCACCGTCGCATACCGTCACCTCGATCCTCTTAGTCGACACCCCGGGCTTCCAGAACCCCGCGACTTGCGGCAGGCAGGCGGGGGCTTCCTTCGAGGACCTTTGCCACAATTATCTTCAGGAGAGGCTGCAGCTTCTTTTCCATCACACGAATTTGGTAGCTCCCCGCGATCGGTACTTACAAGAGAACATTGACTTCACCTACGACGAACACGAGAACGAGAATCTTATCAACCCGATGCCGTTGGTGAACCTCCTCGATAAGCCAGCTCAGAACACCGTCATCAGGACCTCCCAGACTGACCTGCACGAAGGTAAAGTTATAAATTTACCGTTTCTGTTGTAGTTTAATTAGATTTTTCACACGCAGGCGACAGAAGAGGACTCTTGTGGTTGTTGGACGAGGAAGCGATTTATCCGGGTTCTTCGGACGATTCATTCTTAGAAAGATTATTCACTCATTACGGCGACAGAGACCACCAGCTCTTGTTGAGGAAAGCGCCGGGTAACAATCAGTTCATTCTACAACACCTGCAAGGCACGAATCCCGTTTTGTATTCCTCGAAAGGTTGGTTGAGGCACAGCCGGGAGAATCCCGTTGCTAGAGCTGCTGTGACTATTCTTCAGGAAAGTTGCAAGTAAGTAAAGGAGCCCTAAAATAATAGAATTCAATTAGTGTAAATGAGAAGTGGGATGAAGAAATCAGAAGTGGGATTGAAAAATCAGGAGTGGGTTGTGCGAGACCGATGTATGATATTTTAATTTCTGTTTCAGGGAGGAGCTTAGCAAGTTGTTTGTGAACTTACGAGGCTTGGGAGCTTCAAGCTTTGGAGGCTCCTTGGTCGGCATCGAGGGTTCCCAGTCGCTCAGGAGGGCGTCCAGTATCCGGCGGACGTGTACGGCTGGCACCGCGGGCATTAAAAGGAAGAGCGTCTGCTTACAAGTATGTTTTATTTCAGCTTTACGGATGTACGTGTTTACCAATTTGTCTTGTTTTTAGACGAAGTTCACGATCGACGGTCTCGTAGAGACCTTACGAAGGACGAAGTTGAGATTCGTGCACTGCCTGTTACCGCAACACAATGCTGGGCTGTGCGAAACCAACGCCTCGTTGATGGCCGTGAAGACCACGGGACAACCCGACGATTCCCTGATAAACGTTCCGCTTCTTCGATCACAGGTAAGGAATAAGGATATTTTTGTTATTTTAATCATCGTTTTTGACCCTATCCCTTCTGATATGTCTCTATCGTAGTTGCGTCACAAACGGTTCAACTTCAATTTAAAGAGGAAGATTCATTACTGTTTTTATCCATTACTGGTCAGATTTTTTTAATTAAATTTTTACAAAATTAAAAAACATCCAAAAAATTATGAATTTTTTTTTTTGATGTATAAAAATGGATGCTATTGAAAATAACACAGACGGGCAAAACCAGAAATCAGATACTTTTCCGAAAGATTTCGACGTGTTGAATCAGAATTTAAATCTTCAGAATTGGTCCATTACGTGCGCTTTTCGAAATATCCTAACCTAAAAGTGCGCATGTTTCATCACGAGAAAATTTTCCCCACAAAATTCCTTGGAGCATCTGAAAGTACTCTTCCCCTTCTAAACCATTTTAAATCGTTCGAATATTTCTCTTTTCTTCTCCGAGAAATCGTCTGTTGGAATTGATTAGTTTTACGCATTCGCCGTTATTCGGAAATTGAGGATCATCAGGTGAAGACTTAAAAATAGAGAAGTATCAAATTACAAACATCTAAATTCCCACTGGTTCTACAGGTTTTCGGGGTCGGTGATTACGAATCCGAATCTGAACTCAGAATTACAAAGTTATTGCAAATGGAATTAGAAAATGTTGGAATTCATGAATTAAAAATTTCGAGAGAATTTTTTGCACCTCCTGATTTTTTTTATCCCATTTCTGATTCCCACTATCTGTATCCTCTTACTGTACGAATAGCAGGGTAGTACTGTCAGTTGTCTTATTATATATTAAAAAAAAAAATCTGCCAGGGGTAGTTAGGCCGCCCGCAACCAGAGAGCAGTACCTGAAAAAAAAAAGATAATCTGTTGCTAAAGCTGTTAAAATAAGGAAATGAAAAATAATAAATGGTTACATTTATTATTTTTCATCATATTAGCAGACATTTTATTGCACTTTGTGACGGGAAAGGGTATGTAGAATGATAATATCAAAAAAGTATCTCAAAAGAAGTGACGCTAAATTGACATATTGCAAATAAATGGCAAATTTACGTATTTTTTACTGCCTACAAAAATCTAAACGACTTATCGGAAAATTAGGCCTAGAGTCATTCTTCATTAATTGGTTAACTGTAATAAAAAGGTCGAACGCGGAAATATCAGTTTTCCAAAATTGCTCATTATTATTGCAAAAGGTAATGGATCGATGAAACTGATGGAAAAGAAGTCAATCCAATGACCAACATGTTTGTTAAATGTCGGTTCAATTGACCGTGAAATTGTTAATTGTAATTTCTTTTGTTTTTTTTTCAAGTAATTGTTTAATTACTAAACGTTAATTGGGGAAGTCAATATCGTAGATGTAGGTTCTAATTAATCCAAAGAAACGTATTCAAAAAGAAAAATTTCAAAAAGTTGAAATTAAGTTGCTCTTTACAACTAACAAAGTGGGCCGTGCAAAACAGCGTTATAAACAAATTGTCCCAGGGTCACGCAAAAGCCGCTCGGGAATTCGCTCTTTTTGCATTAAATATAGCTTATCTTTACGGTAATTTAAAAAAGTGAGATAACCTACGCCTCTTTGTTCCTAAGATAACTTTTTTTTTATAATGTTACTTGTTGATTAACTATTACACGTATTGGATCGGGATTTTAGAGATGGGTTAAACTTTTATTTCCAAAATATTTTACAATAATGGTTCATGTAGCAGCAGTAAAAGTTAACGTTACTGAATGGCCTACACGCGGGAGAAGGTGCGGCAGGCCCGCGCACGCGCGTGACGCCGCCCTTGGTCGCGCGCGTCTTTGGACCGTCTTTACTATAAATTTCATCAACATCCGTCGCTTTTTGCAATAATAAAGTGCGGTTTTCGAAAACCAATTTTTCTGCGGTCAACCTTCATTTTACATTGACAAATTGGTGAAATATGACTTTAGATACCTTAAATTGTAGATAATTTAATTGCCTACAACATAAAATTACTAATTTTCTGATAGGTCTATATTTTCGTGGGCAGTAAAAAAAATTACCACTTATTTGCAATTTGCCAACTTACTTGAAGTTACTTTTTTGATATTATCATTCTACATAGCCTTCCCCGTCATAAAGTGTAATAAAAACTGCTTTCTTTTGGATGCTGTTTCGGATCTAAATGCGTTATGAGCCCAAAACCATGTTCCTGTTGTTTTCTTGTTTCCGGATCATGTGGGTAATCCCCTTCCCCTTTCCCTTATGAATCAAACTTTTTCTGTGAGTCGTACTTTAGATCACGATCATATATTTAATATAACCTTAAAATTGTGGTGGTTTCTTTTTTCTCTAAGAAGGCAGTTACTATTTTATTTTAATTGTGCACAGAAAAATAGCTAAACGATATTTAAAATTGTATCAAATGTCAATATAGAGATGGGCACTTTTCGGAAAACTGTGTTACGGACATGTCGATGAAATGTTCTGACATGTCGGGAAAAGTACTTTTGACCTTGAATTTAATAAGGCACCTATGAGTGATGTCATGTTTTCACAGGTCACTGCTTGAAGGTACACGAAACAATATATTCTAATGAATATATGTCTTATTAAATGTATTGTTTATTATATTTTTGATTCATTTTTCATTAGAATGCCTCATTTTTGTCTAACATAAATCAAAATTATGTGAAATTGTTTTTCCATCCTACTGGAATTCTTAAAAATTGTTTTTGAGCAGAAGTTACATTTATAATGATTAAAATATAACCAAACTGTTGATTTTGGCGTCATACTTCATTTATAAACTATTTGTGTATTAAATATTAAATTAAGAATCAACTGATTACTATTTACTAACCGTTAACTTTGCCAAAAATAATTAAATATGGACATATAAAAGAAGTTATATTTTTAAAATGTCGGTTTCAGTTAAATAATTACCAACAAAATTACAAGAAAATGGCTAAATATCTTTAATTTTACATGTACCCAACCTCAAAAATTTTTTGCGGGAATTATGAATGCAACAAATAATTCCGCGCATACAACTTTCCAATCTTGAAATGTGTCCTCAGAACATGTCCACTTTTCACGACATGTCCAGCTGACATGTCCGCGGCACGTCTCTAGTCAATTGTAAACAAAATCCTGTTCTCTTCGAAATAGGATTCATTGATCTAGTTCGTGTTTGTCTGATCCTGATTCAGTGATCATGATAAAAAGTTGAGAGCTAAAGAAAACGGTTAAAATGCCTACTAATAGTATTTTCACGTTCAAACTCTAATTCAACTTTAGTATTATTTGAACCCTGTTTCATATGCAACTTATATTTCGTGCTTATTGCGTTGGTTGCCTATCTTAACGTCTATATCCTTGGTACATACATATTAAAGAAATTGAACTAATAGTATAACAGGTTGTGTACCGTCGAACATTTTCAAATTATATGGAATTGTTATAATTTTTTTTTAAATCAAATATAATACGTGAGGCTGTTCAAGGAACTATTCGTTTTATGTAGCGGTCTGCATTAATTTTTTTTGTTTGTTTCAGATAAGGGGCGGTCAGATATTGGAGACGGTCAGACTGTACAAGCAGGGTTTCCCCAATTTCCTGCCCCTAGGCGAATTCAGGAGGCGGTTCCACCTGCTGGCGGGTGACCACAAGGTTACCATTCCCGTGCTGGACGAAAGGAAGGCCGTGGAGGACATGCTGCTCGCTTTGGACTTGGAACTGTCGAGTTACAGAGTCGGACTTAGTCAGGTGAGTGCCGCTTTATTTCTTCTGCGAACCAGTGTACTTTTAAGCGAGCCACTTGAAACTGTCAGAGTTTTTTTATATTTTTATTTTTATTGTTATCTCATGCTATTTGCTCGATAGGGCTTAAATGTGGTGAGAAACACGGTCTTTCAGGATTTCTTTTTTAAACACAATAGATGGACAAACTGAACTACTTTATTAGACTTTGTGTTGTTGCATGACAATCTTAGAGCAGTGCGAAGGTTTATTACATTATTTTTTATTTATTTGAATTATTAAAATCGAATTTGCTGCACACATAATAGTGATTTATTGAATAAATGTGTTCATATTTATTAATACATATACACAAATAGGGCTTGAATGTGGTCAAAGAGACGGCCATTCCAATTTTCATTTCAGAAAACCATAAATATGCAAAACTGCGTACTTAGACATTTTGCATTGCTACATGACCATCTTGGAGCAGTGTGGAAGTTATTAATAAACGTTTTATTTATTTCAATTATTAAAGTCTCACTTACTGAGATATAATGGTGACTTATTGAATGTTTATTTCGGTGATTATGTATGTATGTATGTATGTCGGGGGGGTGGTGGAAAATTGCTTTTCCACCGCGGCACTTAGGCCTTATTAGGCCCCTTGTACACCCCCCTTCATTACTCGAGTACTTTTCTTCAAACCATCCTATTACTACAGGGGTGGCTTGGTGGCAAAGTCTCGTACAGTTTTTTATGTTTGATAGCATGGTCTTGAGTTACAGAGATTTATTGCTCTATTCTCATTACCATTTTATCGGGGACCACACGCAGGCGGAAGGTATTGAGCGAACCAGGTCTCTGGTAGGCTGCCACAGCCATATCCCGAGCCTGCTTTAGGTCACCCATCCAAGTTCCAGCCTGCGTCCGTGATGCTTACCTCGGCCGATCGAAATCTATCGGCCAAGACACCCGGCTAGGCGGTCCCCCTTCGGTGATTATATATAAGCAATAGGGCTGGAATGTGGTCAGAAAGTTGGCCATTCGGGTTTTCTTTTCGAGATTCGATAAATCTACAAACATAACGTTTTCTTTTCGAAAATGATGTGTACAAGCAAAACTGCATTAGACATTTTGCGTTGCTACGGAAATGTGAAGGTTATTGGTACATTTTTTATTTATTCGAATCATTAAAATCGAATTTGAATAGATGTGAGAATGACTTATCGAATATTTGTTTATTTCGGTCATTACATTATAAAAAAGCTAATTATCATAAATATCTGACAATTAGCAGACAATTCTGCCAATAAATATTGATAAACCTCAATGTTCGTGTGTGCTAACGTTACTTTCTCTTTCATCAGCAATACGGGCTCGACACATTTTTTACTTGCAAATGTACGCAATAATATTACGACTGTTTTAGAAGCTGTCAATGAAATTATGTAAACAATACAACATATTTTTCACATTTTCGGGTTTTTTAACGTTTGTAAAGCTCCGATTTTTAAATTTGTTTCGGGGGACGTAAAAGCGGTTATTTTCGCAAAAGTGATGTTTTTAAACGGTTTGCGAAATTATGGCGAACATATGGCGTGATTTCATCTTGAATGACAATTTAAAGACGTTAAATTAAATCGTCGTTTCCTTGAAAATTTCGTGAAACGGTCGCTGACCCGGAGGTTCACGAACGATGGAGTGTCTCTGTATTATACGGTCTGTGTTATCTGATATCTTTGAACAAGAAGAGAGATTGGTATAAACGCACGAGGAGAGTCATTAAGCGCTCATTGCCGTCGAATTTTGCTTTTCGTCGCGAAGAGCTCGGACGAAACGTCGAAAATATTGATTTCTCATCTGCGGCACCTTGGATCGGACGAGGCTGATATCCAAGGTAATGATGGAAACATACTTGAATCAGAATTTGTTAAAAATATAATCAACATTTGTATTTTCAGAATAAATTAAAGAAAGCAGCGTTCAGGGCGTTTGAAAGTATCGTACCATAAAGTTTATGGATAATAAAAACATTACTTTCTCCTATGAACCATGAGTTTGTCCTCGATTATTTTCAAAATACAATGCGCTAAAATTATTTTTTTTCCGAATGTAATCGACATATCCTATTGAAATATGTTTTGAGACTTTAAATAGCTTCAATTAATTTTTAAATAAATTATACTTATTTTAGGTCACAATTTTTTTGAGGTTAAGATATTGCCTAACTTAATTAATCCAAGCCTCTCGCAACGTGTGTGCCAGATTTTATTAATATATCTATAACTTTTGTAATTAATCGCGAAATTCATTTAAGAATAATTCTTTAACGGTGATTAGCGCTAGTTTGGCTAAACCCTGCTGAAATATATTAAAAGTCTGTTGGGATTATGGGTAGAACTAAAACACTTTAATAATTAAAAGATATTGTTTATTCACTTATTCAGAGAGCACATCTATTCTGTATCAAATCAGATTAAAAACTAAAAAACTCTTCTAAGCCCAATGCTACAATATACCTCCGTATGTTTATAAGCATTTTAATTTATGGGCAAGGGCTCTTGAACCTTCAGCTGATAAATATATAAACACATTAAAAGTATCTAAGCATGGGAATGTTTTTGTTTACGTAGCTTGAGTATCTTTCAACAGTCTTCACACATACACTTTACTTTTATACCATTTAAGGTTTTTTCAATTTTTTTGAACACCCCGTACAAGAAATGTTAAATTTTTCTATCCCAATCTTACTTTAAGAACCACCAACATTTTTTATCAAGAGTAACTTCTTTATTTCGATAAAATGAAAAATAAGAACGTTTTTCCTATTCAACACCTTTTCTGTGTACATAACAAAGTGCTACATATATTTGTCTCGTACTGATGAGAGCTAATATGTTATATCGGTTTGTTTAGTGGTTCTACTGACGAATGGTCCTAGCTGTTTACGAGATATTGCGGGGGGTATAATTCAATTCTATTGGGAGTATTAGTCCGCAGAGTAGTTGTTTCTCGCATTATCATCAGTTAAAAACGTTTAAGACTTTAGAATTTATAGAACGTTATCCTGAGTCGACTTGTGTAACATGAAATTAATCAAACTGTTGGCAGAGCCAGCAGTGGCGGCTGGTGCGGGGGGGGCTCTTAGAAATTTTCATAAAAAAAATTATTTGAAATTAATTTTATATGTTATCTGAATAATTAAATAGAATATTCTTATGAAATACATTAAAAAGGAAATATTAAATTTGTAATGTTCAGTCAATTTAACTCGACTTACAAAATTCATTTGAAAAACTCTGAATACATATCTCCGCGTAGCTCATTCCTACATCTGTAAAGTGTTTACAGCGGTGGTCATGGTTACCGTTGCGGAGCAGTGAAAGACGGAGTGGGAGTAGCGCATATTATGAAGTTTAAGTTCTGTTTAGTTCGACCAACCAAATAATAGCTATTCATGGCTTTTCTTTTATTAAACGGAATTTGTTCAGGTGTGGTGTAAAATTTTGTTACTTACGTATTGCTTCTTGTATGTTTTTTAAAAGATTGTAAAAGTTTAAATTGATTGTAAAGACAGACCAACAGTAATGCTATATATTGAAAATTTATTTCGGACAAAAGCAGAAGAATAAACATTTACTATAAAAAATAATGTTGAACACATTTTCTCTAATTTTTTTGCCCCCCTTGGTATGGAAGTGAAGAGCCGCCACTGTGAGCTAGTTATACCAGAGAGCTATACTATAATATTTAAATAGTTTTCCATTACTTTTTAAAAATTCGACAGTACTCTTAAATCGCAGATATAGAACAAAGTTTAAGAAATGGGTGTCCGCCTGCGCTGATCCAAGGCGACTAAGTATAATAATTTATAGTAGGCTTTTATCGGTCCGCGAGCGGTTTTACTCAAATTACCCGCCCGTTAACGAGTTGTGGATGACCGCTTCTAGTCGCGTCGAAAATAAAGCCAGCGTTTCCTTCCTGTTTATGGGAAATAAATCATAATGAAGCGAAATATTCGAAAGTGAAATTAAATTCCGATAGGATTGTTAATTGCCCACGCTGACCTTTGCCTTTGTGGTAATTTGTTTGTGTATTAAATCGCACTTTCTCCGATCGGAAGCGTTTGATCGTTGCCAATTTTATAATTGTGTGTAATTTTTTATTACGTGGAATTAAATGTTTGTAAAACGGCGGGCATATAAATTGGTTCCGAAAATATACTTTCACCGGAATAATTCGAGCGGGTTTGGATTCAAAATAATAGAAAATTGCTTGCATATTACTCCATTTCGAGAAAATTCAGGGTGTAGGTATCAAAATTAGCGCAATATTTTCCAGCACATTCTCCTAGGAAAAATTTAAAAAAGCGGAAAAAGGGGATGTTTCCCAAATCGTTCAAGATAAAACAATGAAATTTGAAACTGAATACCACTATTAGATTTGAAATCTAATGGACAAAATATAGTTTCTAAATTTTATTCAGTGGCGTCCGAAACTGAAGGTAACATTTTTATATGAAGAGTTTCTCTCTCACTGTTTGGAGTGTTTCGTCCAAAAATTTTAAATTTTATATAATTTTACAAAAAACAGTGGTCTCGTATGTATCATTTAGATGGATTTAAAAATTACGTTACATTTTACAAAAATGTATGTTCTAAATTGTAAACCGTTTTTGTCGATGTGTGAAAAAAACATTTTTATTTGAACTTAAAATAACAGTATTGCATACAATAATAAGTTACAACCATTAGTGCCATTATAGGATCGTAAAAATAACATTGAAAAACAAAAAAATTTAAAAAATCTGAAAAAATAGCCACATACGTTCCAAATTTTATTGTTTTAAGAAACAACTTTCAAGGGTTCACCACTGAGGGGCTGTAGACACTTGAGCAAACATTTTTTCAACCAAAATTTATACAGGGTGTAACTAAAATGCTTGGAGTAATAGCAGATACCTACTGCGTCATAATCATTAAAAAAACTTCCTATAAATATACAGCGTGATTTGACTTTAAAGA